CAGAGTGAATTACCCAGGTTCAGTATCAAAAACTCTGTCTAGTGGAAGGTGTCCCTGCCCTTGGCATGGGGGCTGGGACAAGATGAATTTAAAGCCCATTCCAACCTAACCCACTTTATCCTCTTATGTACAGCCCACCTATTATTTTTCAGGGTGACTTCGCTGACATTCTGCACTTACCCTGTCTTTAGCAGAGACTGCCAGGCTTCTTGCTCAGTCCCAAGAATGCTGTTTAGTCTGTCAGCTCAGGATGTTTGTGAATGTTTCTGTTAGAAGCTTTTTTTTTTTTTTTTGCCATGTTACTTCAGTTTTCTTGTAGAAAAACTGCTGTACTTAGTGAAATAATAGTTTCCTCCATCCAGTACTGYTTTTATAATCAAAAATATACAAATGAAAGAAAAGCTGTACAAACATACATCAGGAAATAAACATCTAGTAAAGAATCAAATCAGGAGAGCTACAGTTTTCAGAGCCTTGCTCATCCCAGCTCATCAAAGCAGCAGCTCAAAACCGTGGCAACTCCCTGCTTTCTCCAGATGCTGCCTCTTTGCCTGAATCCTTCTTTAGGAAGGGATTTACAGTGCTGAATCCCAATCTTATTTCCTCTTCAGGAATAGGAAGCTTGGCAGATACTGCCACCACACGTTGCCAGTTCTCCATATGAATAACAGAGGTCTTTCTGCAGCTAGGGATGAATACAGCTAAAAGTTTCACCAATATTTATTTTCTTAAGTTATTGGGAGGGAGGGGGTGATCATCTCTTTTTGTCTTTTCTGGTAAGCCAGAATTCTCATACTTTTACTCAGCTTTCAGCATCTTTCCATGTCTGTCACCTCTAAAAATCCCATCCCTCCCAAATTAATTCTGACCACCTTTTTGTGGAGGGTGAGATAGGTGACAGCCCAAGTTGGTGGGCTATAAAGCTCAGAGCCTGAGAACTACAAGAATGCTGTCCCACAGAAATATCCCATCACACCTGAGGACCACTCCAGRGTCCCTGCCCTGCCATAAAGAAACAATTTTTTATCCTGGGAAAGAAGGTGATAGGAAGAAAGTTTAGTTCTGGCTGCCCTGAGCTCTGGGGARTGCTGGCTCTAACTGGTTCAGTCCTGTGTGGCCAAGTGTGTGTGTGGTTTTAACAGCTCTAAGCTGCTCCTGCTCAAGAGGCAATATTCCATTTACATCCAAGCTATAAAATTTTGGCAATGTTCTTGGTTTTTAACAATTAGGGACTAGGGTAGATATTCTTCTCCCTAATGGGGAAAGGTCAATATTTTTTATATTGGTTTTGTGATTCCTTAAAAAAAGCTTTTTTTTAAGGTTTTTTTTTTAGTATTGCAAAGAAAGCACTTTAAATCTTTGTCTTTTGCCTGAATGAATGAGGGAATAATATTGGACCACCCTTCAAGCAGAGCTGAATGGTTGTCATTTTTCAGTATTTTCCCTCAAGTAGTCTCGCAGGAAAACGTGTGAATGATAATAGATCATTCTTGTTTCAAGTAATTCAAAGCATATTTCCAAGTCTCTAAGCATATTCAGCACGAATCCAGCTGGAGCTCCCCAAATCAACTTGCAAGTCACTGAGTAGGCCAAAACCATTTACAGTGGCAGTGCAGGATAACAGAACTCTGAACTTTTGGGGCTAACCAAATTCCAAGAGACAGAAGGGAAACAAATATCTCCAGAAATGACAGAATGAAAGTAACTAAGAACTGTAAACTGAAAACTTACCAACTCAGAAACAAGTTTTCCTTGCTTGCCTTTCTTTAGCAGCCAGAGGAAAAAATTGTTTTCACATCAGTAAGAATTTTCTGCAGGAAGCAGCATCTTGGGCAGTGAAAGTCTTAACAGCAGGATGTGTCTTCAACTATTTCCAAGGAATGAGGAAGGAAACTCTTCCCCAAGCAGACCTCACTCCTGGACAGACTGAAAAGAGAACACCTAGGGAAATCCATTGTGACTTCTCAGAGAATTCCTTGAAGAATGACCCATTTCTGGGTAGAGATTCACACTTACTGGGCTTTCTTAGCAAGAACAGAGTTGTTCTTTCCTCAGCATTCACTTCCTTACCCCATCCAAAGGATAAACTACAGAAACTGGGAGCACCTTGTCTCAGGTGTGCTCTCCCTTCAGCACCACATCCTCAAGGTGTTTGCTAATACTCATTTTAGCCAAAGTCAAAATGAATATTCTGAGAGAAAATTGAACAGTCCTGGGAGAATTGATCTTGCTTCTTTAGAGGGAAGTGATCTGAGTTCACAGACACATTTCTACTGGGCATTCTTGTGGAGGCCTTGAGGAGCTAGAAACAGCTCTGGAAAGTATCCACAATATTACCTTCTCAATGGAAGCATGTAGCACAGCTGAACTGGGATAAAGACTCTGCAAAGTTGTACTTGGAGAGCTTTTTTCCATTAGGTGAGAACTGCTGACAAAGGGGACACCTTTTCCATTTAAAAATATTATGCCACATCCAAGCTGAGATCATAAAAGCAGTAATAAAACCAAACCAAATCACATTACCTACTCATTTCTTCCACTCTATTTTTACCTGTTTCTTCTGGTTATGGCAAGGATACTGCTTTCTATTGCTGTAACTCAGATATGCCCAGCTTCCAGATTTTTTACTTTCAGAGAAATGCTCAGCCTGTAACTTGGAAAGGACAGCTTCTTGAAAATTTTGCAGTGTCCACACACTTTCCCCAGATCTTTACTTAATGCAGAAACTCACCCTCACTATATACAAACAGGAATGCACCAGGATGAGCCAGCCCAGGACACTCCCTATGAAAGCCATCTATTCTCTCCTAGCACCTTAGCTAACCACAATGTCATTCCTCAGTGACAAAAATATAATGCTGGCAGAAAAGCATCACCTGGCACTAGACCAGGAAAGATTCAGATCAGCAATGTGATAACTTATATTGTTCAATTAAAGTGATAAAGTGCTTAAAGATTAAAAAATTTGACCATATCAAATGATTTGGACAAGACCAAGACCAGTTTTCTTCAGAGGCCATCGAGAACTTGCAGTACTCGCAACCAATCCAACAGTGCTCATTACAAAACACTTGCACTCTAAACAAAGATGTTACCCATGTTGGAATATACTGGAAATTTTGATTGTAGCTCCRCATCACATTGCTTCACAAAACCCTGACATGGATTGGGTCTCSTGCATTTACTTCAAGTGAAACACAGATGATCACAAATAAGCATCAGCTTCTTTGAAACACCAGCAATTCTTGCTTACTGGCCAGTTACCTTTATGCCTATAACATACTTTGCAGAATGTACTCATAACTCTGCTACAGTCTCATAAGCCTGTAGTTTTCCTATTTAATTGTTTTCCTTTTTAAACACTGATTCTRTATTATCCAGTCTCTATTTACATAGTGACAGTTGTGAATTGACAGAACCCTTAAAATATTTGCTGCCCCACTGGCACATTGTATTTCAGAAGTTTGGAAGAATGACCAAGTCTCAGAACAGATTGCTTTGCATTTTAGTTTGTCTTGGAAAACTTCTAGTCAGCTTCACACATCACTGAGGTGCCTCTGCAGCAGTGAACCCAGTCTTAAGAGCATCCCTTGAAATATTCCATCTACACTAACAGAATCTMCTGTGCTCCAATCCTTCTTCTACAGCTCAAGACACCATTTTGTTTGCATCAATTTGCTTATGAAAACTGGATTCCAGTCCTGGCATTTCCTGCCTTTTCCAGAAGCTGTGCAGGAAGATAAGGATGTTTGAGTCAGCACAGAGCACAGTGGCTGGCAACAGCATATGCAAGATGAGGGGAGTGTTTGTCTTTGGAAATACATTTTATTTTAGTGTAAGTGCATTATCAAATTCAAGGGCTTTTCTTTGTGAAAGACATCATTGTTAAGCCTCACGTGCTTTCAGGCTGCATCTGTCAGACTGCACTGCTGCACCAATGCCAAGTCACAACCAATTAGAACCTTAAATACACCTTCATTTCATACACAACCTTTTTGACCATGGCAAGCTCAACACAACCCCTCYAGCAGAACAGGCTGTAAAAGCAGCATGAACATCAAAACATCCCCACAGACACACTCTGAGCTCTGCCCTGACAAAGTGCCTCCTTTGGAGAGTAAAAGTGAAAGATCAATTAGGGACAATTATAGCTATGCCAGTTAGAGGCAATAAATTCAGATGTGTCAGGGATAAGCATGCTGCTTGCCTGTACTGGTTCCATTCRACTGATCACCTGGCTGGCCTGGGAGCTAGAAAGTACAGCAAAGWAAAGAGCAATTCACTATAACACCTACTGAAAGAAAAAAGTTATCACAGATGTGCTGGTTTAATGTGAGTTTTGAATAGCTGAAAGAATCAAATCAGAGACATCCAGCCTACCTCYATATCAGAGGCTGCGAAGATCCAGTTTCAGAACACACACTGAGGGGGGAAAATCAGCACACAGTCACCAAACAAACCCCATGTGTGCATWTGCAGAATGATTTGTGAGGAAGTCAAGGACAGACTTCAGATCAAACACCAATTATTGCAAGAAAAACAGTATCTAACGTGTCAGGTTCAAGGACTTGATTATAACCACACATGCAATTAACTCTGAGCRTTTTAAGGAATTACCACCCTTCAGTTTTGTCAGCAGTGGCCTGTGTTAGCTGGAACTTTCAATGGATATGAGTTTTGTGGTCACCACTTCCTGAATCTCAGCTGACAGACAGGATCCCTCGGTTCTGCAGCGAAAACAGTGCTCAAATCCAACTGCACCAACACATATCAATAGTTTAAGCCATCCATGAAGCCCTCCAAAAAGACCACATTAAAGGTACAATGCACATACATTATTTTCAGCTACTATAAAATGGCATAGGATAATGAGTCACTGGGATCTCCTAATGAATTTTTCATTTTTAATCACAACTGTCCAGGCACTGTTATGTATCAATAATAGAAAAATTAAAAGGTTAAAAATAGTCTACAGTTTAGCACAGAAGGCAACAWTTGAATAGAAGCACATAATTTTAATTTGCTTTGAAGTTTAAAGCAATCCAAACAAAAAGTTAACTATACAAATACAGAGTAAATGCACATAGTTTACAGCCAACTACATGTATGCAAGAATAATAGCAAACCTCACATGAGTACTGAAGTATTCTCAAWCTGTCATCTGTGAGTGTTTAGCTATGACTCTGAGGGCATAGTTATGTTCACATATGCAGGGTAGGCAGACTCTTAAATAGAAGAACTGAAAACATAACTCAGTCTTAACAGACAAAGTTGAAAAAAGTAGTACATTTACCTAGGCACACTTCAGCATTCAGCTTGTTTTCCAAATTTGAACAGTTTAAACAGGAAGCAACATTTATAAAGGCTCTCCACTCTTTTGTYTCTGGAAGCATTCTTGGACAATGCTACAGTCTGAGGAATGTTACAGATGTCGTAAGAAAAAAAACAGAATAGCAGAAACTGTCATTAACAAACAAACAATCCGCTGTCATTAACATCTCAATCAGCAAGAGAAGATGCGGAGTGCGTTATGTAAACAGAGATGGGGGCAGTGTTAATGGCTAAGTGGACAGGTGATGTCTCAGTTATAATCACAAAGTGTAAACCCACTCGCAGCCGGGCAGAGCAGCAATCGGGACAGACAGGCAGAATCACCCTCCGCACAGCACTCCAGGGCTGGAGGGGCTCAGGAGCTGCGTTCCCGCCGTTCAGTTTGCCAYGGCTTTGCCCGGCCCTGACTCGCGTGCTGCGCCGCCACCTGGCGGCCGCGCTGGGGAACGGCAGCTGCCAACCAAMCCCACCGGGCACCAGCGCTCGGGGCTGACCTCAGCGGGGGAAATCAGCCACCAATTCATTAATGAACTAATTACTGACAGTTCTTCACACACCCTTTCCTTCTAGCACAGACAACTGTGATAAAAACATGACATCCAGATACAAACCAAGATGACCAAGCTAATGGAAGTTTTAATGCACTGCTTTCAGCTCTGTAGTTAAAGATATTATCGAATGAAATATCTTGTTATTCCCTTTGAGTTTTTATAATAAATACCAAGAAAACTATATAAATAATTTAAAGGTCTTTGGGAAAGATATCAGAGGTAATTTTGCAGGTACTTATATTTTAAAAATAACAAAAAATCCCAAGAAATTTTGGGGTTATGTTTGGTAATATAAAGGAAGCCAAAACGATCACCCTGAAGTTTAAAACAATGCTGGAACACCCATTAAGGAGGTGGAAYAATAAGCTGATTGTCTGCTTTTAGCTGTTGTCTCCCATATTTAACTGTCCTTGTTAACATGTCCTACTTATCAACTCCAGGGGCTCTGCTCTCACCCAGAGAAGGCACACACACAGTACCCAGGGGATTCCAGGCAATACCCAGGAAYGGGAGACAAACACAGAACCAAGGGACAATGTACCCAAACAGAGGGCAGTAACTCTCATGAAGCCTAGGCTACTCCAAGTGTCCACTGGATTCACGAAACTCCAAAGCTGAGTATGGTCTTGGCCAATTTAAGTTTTGGCTATGATTGAGTAATCTGGATAACCTGAAGAGTGACCCACATTCTACACCATGAAAATGACAGTAAGTCACTGTTCCTCCATTTATTTATCTAAACAAAAGCATCATATCAAGGCTTAGGTCAGTCATAAATACTCTTCTCTTTTCCTAGAGAGACTACTAGAAAAAGCCCACTTTAAAATACATTTAAGCACCCCTTTCACTTCTTAAGACAATCAAGTTCACCATGGTCACACCTCAGACCATGCTCTGTCTTTAAAAAGGGAACATTTTCTGAGCAGGGAAATCAATGCAGCACTGCAAGGTCACTTTACTTACTATGGGTGGCTTTTAGAGGATCAGAAATTCATACAGAGAATTACATTAAATACTCAAATACTTTGACACTGCGTGGAGAGCATGACAAGGGTCAAAATAAAGGAAAGTAAATGAGAAAAACCCAGGCTGATTGTTCTGCAAGTTTTGAGGTTTTACATAGAGCCTACAGAACCACTGCCACAGAGATGCTATGGATTTACAGCATAAACTCCTGCACAGCTTCCACAGAAATCAAACCACATGCTTTGTTTAAAACCAATCTGCATGTTTCACACACAGCTTGATTCCAGATAATCAGTAAGAGGAAGAAAAGTTGTAAGCCCTAAGAAGGCCACAAAGTGCATTAAGAAGTCATTAATAAAATAAAGCCATTGCACATGATGCACAGTTCAAGTGTACTGAAGTACCACACTGGAAGAGCTGAGAGCACAGTTCTGTCCATGCCAGTGTAGCAGCATTTATATGGAGAAAGCTATTGACCCCAATTTACAATGATTATCTTCCTCATAARGGTGATGGATGCAGACTGAGAAGACACCTGTCTGGAAAGCTGTAAAACTTCCTGTAACATTAACTGCTTGACACTCCAGTTGTATGATTTTGGAAAACTCTGTAAATTATGACAGAATAAACCAGCTAAGCCTCACTGCTGAATGCAAGGCATTATTTTGCAATTGGCTTACGGAACAAAAACAATGCCTGAATAATCAGACAATGTGGAGGACAAGGTTATACTGTCAGGTGCAGTTCAGTACACAGGCTCAAGCTGACAGAAGTGATACAGCAATTATCATCAAGGGGAATGCTTTCAAGAAAATCTCAATTACAATTCCTCCATCCTCAGAGGCTGTCTGCACTGACAAGATCTATCACAACTTCAATTGGTCTCTGCTTTCTGGTCACCCTAGCCACAGTGATATGTGCTGTCCCCCAGTACTCCCATATAAATACTGGTAATCCGAGGCAGGATTTGCCAGACATTTAAGGGTAATACAGCTTGTGCTTAGGCAGCATGAAACTATCTGTGCGAATCCTGTCTTCACAAGTGGGAGGCTGACTAATTGAGATTTCTCATCACATTACAAATCCCTAAAAAGGCTATAAAGTAGCATTCAGCAACTTCTTCCTTAGCTGCTTGAGTGATCTGAACAGGTTGGCAAGGAAAACTGATGATATAGGACAATGTTTCATAGGTCTCTATTACTTAAGTTCCAGAACAGAAAAAGGATGATGCAGCAGGACTAGAAATCCACATACACAAACATTAACAGACTGATAACCTGAGGAGTTGAACAATCAGACCCTCTCTTACTAACCTACAACACTGCTCAAACGTCAAGGGAAAAAAAAMCAAAATCAAACCAAAAGCTACACCAGGTATCACCTTTYGTAGTGAAGAAATAACTGTTCTGGGTCCCTGCACCATATTTTTCTTGAGGTAGCAACATGGAGAACTTTACACACTGACTACTACCTCAGTCTCTTTATGAATCTTCAGAGCAACTAAAAGGAAGTTTCAGGTATAGAAAGCTATAAAAGTACTGTCTTGCCCATTCTTCCAACAGGTTCCTGTGCAGTAAAATAGAACAAAAATGATGTAGTTGAGAGCAATCACTAAGAAAAGTGAACAGGACTGCCCAGGAACATATTTTATGTCCCCTCCCTCACCCATCGGGTCTCTGAAGATGACTCAATGGCTTTGTCTAGATTAACAGATGAAAAGAAAGGAAWAATTCTGAATTAAGAGATGTATGAAGGCATTCCCTAAGGAGCAGTTCCCATTTGTCACATTGACAAGAGACCACACARTAAAGGCAGCAAAATTATTCAGAGTTGCCCACAATCAACCTTCTCTTTTGTCCACAGCCACTTGCTCCTGATGCAACGTTCCTTTTGCCCACCACATTGGCATTGACATTCAGTGGTCCACTCTAGTCTTTCCATCTTTCACCTTCTTCCAGGAAGCCTTGTCACACTGCTATCCATCAAGTAAGTAGACTACAACTTCATAGGTGGACATCATGATAGCCGTGTTTGGAATCTGTCTGATCAGGTGTGTGGTTAAACCTCGGTACAGGGCGCCGTACCCCTCCTCTCGCACAAGCAAAGAGAGTGTCTGGAAGAAAGATCTGTATTTTGTTCCCTCTTCTCTTAGTCTTGTTCGTACAACCTCTGTACAAAGAAAACCAGTGGGAAAAAAAAAAAAARAAAAAAAAGAGTGGTTACATTCACCACTTTTCATTACTTTCCCCAGCAACCAATTAGTGATTTTTACATTTACTCTGCAAATTCTCAATCTCACAAGCCTTCTTTGAAAAAAGGAGGATGAAGACAGAGTAACAAACCAAGGATGTGTAAGAAGAGAACAAGTTACATTTTTGTAAGCATTAGATATGTGACTGAACAAGGCAAATTGATTTGCTAAGCTACAACCCAGAAGAGTACTGCATCTGGGCTTGCATTTTAGCTCAGAAGTTGACACTAATTTAATACTCAGCCAATGAACAAATTTATTGTATACATAACTTGCAGGAAGATCAAGTGCAACTGCAACACAAATTAGACAGCCTGCTTCCCTAGAAGGAGGACAAGAACTTGCTGGCAAATTAGGGAAAATTGCTGAGTATATGGAAAAATATACAGCTGAAAAAGTACCTCTAAGTACCTTGGGCCATACCCTGGCAAATCCCTTGGCAAAATAAACATTGCCTAAGAAAAGGCCATGGAKGATATCCACTATACAGCATTTCCATTACTGAACACTATACTCATGTTGACTTGTTGAATCTGATATTTACACAGGGAAATATTTCTTGAGCAAGTAAACCAAAGCTGGCTGTGAATCTCAGATTCTGACTCCTGAAGATCTCAGAGAAGACTCCTTTTGATGGATCTGGGCGTGCACATGTCRCACTTACCATGGGGATATGCTATTGACGTTGCACACGTTTTGGAAGTGGCAGCAGCCATCATCATTCGAACAAAGTCCGATGCTTCTTTTGCTGATTCATCCTCATTGTCCAAGGCAGAAGCAGTCTTRTACTCCAGTAATTTTTTCTTAATACTCTCATAAATGACAAAGTGAATAACAGTCTCAGATATGCCTGCATAGGATGCGGACATCCCCCGGTAAAAGCCTTTAAAACCATCCGAGCGATAAACTCTGCGGACACATTCAAAAGCACTCATTCGCTTTTCTCCACGATTCCTAAAAAGGAGAAAACGAGTCTGATATCAGCTGGTGCAACCAGTGAGACTGGAAAATAATTCAACAGATTTGGAGGGATGAGAAGACTTAGGAAATATCCAGCACTGATGTTGAKGGGTTCCAAGTCAGACAGAGCTAAGAACACACAGAACTTGAAATCTCAAAGGCCTTCAGAACTAAACACAGGTAAAGCATTACATGGAATCCAAGCCAAACTTCACACAGTGACTAAAGAAAAAATATCACACAGAAATGTTGAACTACTCCAGGCCTCCCCAGCTCTCTGCAATAAAGGGCTAAACTGCCTGAAAACAGGCTCCCAGATGGGCTATCAGTGTCAGCGACTCATGAGAAAAATGACCATTTCCTTTTGCATAATGGATTTGTTGCTTCAATAAGGAGCTCCACAGCATTCAGTGGTAAAGGGTTCAAAGAGCAGCTCTCAGCAAACAACTGGCACAGCAACCAATGCAACACCAGTAGCTGTTATTTGATTCAACTAAGCCACTGCTGATGCCAAGGAAAATGCTCATTAGACATGACTGTATCAAGCAGAATTTGGCAAAGAAAGTTTTAGTCCCATATTGAGCTTGCTCACTGACTTGAGTTGCGCATATTGAAGTAGCTAGAACACTGTACACAGCTATGCAAACCCATGATAACACTGCATGAGATGTGCCTCACTACAGCTGCAAATGCAGTCACATGGCTGGTGCCAGCAGAGGTCTGAGTGAGCCAGGCACAGAATAAAAGAGCAAATAACCTCTAAAGGAGTTATGGTAACTCATATGGACACATGTCACATAGCATCATACTAGCATCTTCCTACAGTTTTAAACAGATGGGAATACAGAGGTCTGTCTTCCTTCCTATTTGCACAWAATTCTATTTTCATTACAAGTTTCATCATAAACCCTTTTTGTAGTCAATTCTGTCATAAGTCCAAACAATTCATTGACTATCCCACATTAAGACAATTACTGTTTCTATCCATGAAAGAAGTCTCTCCCTTTTTCTAGGCTAGAACTCATGGTATGCAAAAAAAAAAAAAAAAAGCCATAACAAAAAAGCCCTGAGGATGTTCAAGGCCTTTTTCTAAACATTTGTTATAACAGTTAATCCGTATTTCAGGAATGTTTAGCTCAACAGTTAAAGAGAATGTATTACTGAATAAAAATGTAAGCATATGGTTGGTAGAACATGATTTTAATGAGATTGTTAACCTTGTAATTAATTCCAAATTTAGTGGCCAGTCTACTACATTGCCTTAGGCATGTCTCAGAATGGATTAAAATAGAGAGAAATTATAACATAACTTGTAGAGAGAGCAGCATCAACCTTCCAAATCTGAAACGCTGAACSTTTAAAAATTCATTCTATTTTGGGATGCAGAACAGATTCACAACACCTGAGGACCATCTTATCACAGCAGTGAGATTTCCTATTGTCACTTTACCTCGCATCAAGCTGTAACCGTGTCTTTACCAACCAAATGGGATTAGTTGTTGTGATCGCAGTAAAGCCTAAAAAATGTAAAAATAACAAAATTAGATGTGATAATATCATAAGAACAGCTGCATCTAYGTTCCAAACGCTCACAGTAAGGTACAGTGGATGCAAAAACTCGGACTATACTGATTTTTCCGAAGTCCCCATTTTACTGACATTTTTGTGAATCCATACAGCCAATAAASTTAGCTAGTTTTTAAAATTTACATTAATATTGAGTAAGTTTGATTCTTAGCAAGAGATGCCCCATATAAAATATGCCAAATTAAGTACAGTTCTCTATCTAATACCAACCCTGTTTTGACACCACAGAACAGCAATGCCAACTAGACAAATATCAGCCAATTGGGCAAAAATATCACTAAGAATGCATTGCAGAGACAGCAATAGCAATTTGAGATGCTATAAAACACTGCCTCAATTTAGTTGGTTACCTGAAATACAATCCGAGTTTAAAAGCATGCAGACTGAATAAATACTAYTTTTGGTGCAGTTAAAAGGCATTTATTACTGTAAATTAAGAGACCTTTTAATAYTGAACTATAAAGAGCAGTTAAATTTGAGTGCTAATCTTTTATTTAGTATTCAAAGCAGAGATGGTTGGCTGGCCTTGGAATACTTTTATAAGCATATGAGTCTTTAAATTGTTAAAGTAAATACTATGACTTCTAACTATTCAGACAGACAGCAGCTACTCAGGTTTGCATAAGGGCCAAGGGTTAAAGCTTTGATTTTCAGTCCACTAAAGAAAAAGGAAGAAAAAGAGAAAAGGAAACAAATTAAAAAAAAAGGAAAAAGGAAAAAAAAAAGAAAAAAAAGAAGTAAGAATCACTCTTACTTCTGCACAATCGTGAAGAGAGAAGGAGAAAGCAGAGTGAAAGGCAGCTCTGAAAAAAAGTAAAATTAAAAAAAAAAAATCATCTCGAGCTGTAATACCACACATGCACCATCAATGAGGTGTCATGTCTGCAGGAGAGAATAGGAAAAGGAAAAAGCTGGAACATGGCCAGGCAAGAGATGATAAATTTAGACACTTGCTCTCTAAGTGACACACATGGCTGGTTTATCACTACAAAGACATGCTGCCCTCCTGCAAAGGGATAGATAGACTGGGGTTGTGGGGAAGGACAGAGCTACCCTGCTTAGTGCATGGTTGGGGCACGGTACTTATCCAGCAAACAGGCTATTGATAAGCTCGTTTATCAGAYCAGTAACAGCTCACAGAAATAGATTTAGCAGAACTGGTTGCATACAGTTACTCCTGTTCAATCACAATCTAGGTTTACATTGCACACAAAGGTCTGCAATACTCAGAAATGCCAGGGGATCTTAACTGTTCAAAGGTTTGATCTGTGCCCATCCCCCAAATCTTAAACAGGTCATTATGGWTTTCAGTTCAAGTTCTAAAAACAAATTACCAGATTCAGAAGCTACTAAGATTGAGCTGGTTTTCTACACCAGAAGAACAAAAACACTGGAGCTTTCTGCTCCATCTTCTGATTMAATAGATTTTTAAAYTATTTTCAAACTTCTTAACTAAGCAATTTCCTGCTGTTGATACACTACTCTTTTTTCCCTGTATCTCAGTACATATGGACACTTCATAAAATAGAGCGAAATCCTAACAAACCAAGTGTTTTATATCTCTATTTCATGGAGATAACTATGTAAAAACTCAAGGCACTGGGGAACTACTCTGCCATAGCAAGGCTTGGGATGTTGTAAAACACTCCCACATGTGCAAAACAGGCTCTGTAGCTCAAGTAGCCAGAGCCTGTCCGACCTTCACTTAATGTCTCAGAAAATCCACTGACTCCAGCAACACTTGAGCCTGACCACACTGAAAGGAAACATTGTACTGGCATTTTTTTATTTCTTTACCCTAGCACTAAGAAAGTTTCCATTTTCTTTGACTTCCAATCAAAACCTTTGTGGAGTGAAGGGCACTAGGAAATGCACAGAACTGCAACAAAGGCATGGAAATAACATGGGGAAAAATAACTAATTCCCCCTAACAGCATATTTTCTCCAAAATCAGTTAAGTCTCTCCTAGTTCTTAATTACAAGTGACCAAAGCCAAAAAGTCTTTTGTATTCCTATTTCAGTTTCATGTTTTGGAATTTTGTTACTGTTAGACTGTAACATACAGTCTTTCTTCTTCCTATTCAACCCAAACTTAGGGTCTMTGCAGATCCTAAATCTGGAAAAGGCAAGGCATAGGTACCATCAGTGGCAGTGTTTGAGTGACAGCAGTGACTGTACTCACCCACAGCAGSAGCCTGATACTTATAGGCTGGCTGAGAAGAGTATATTGGAAATTTCCAGTGCAAAGTGGTTGGCATAGGATTCTGCCCCTACTCTGCTCAAAACTACACTCCTTGGGTCACTCTAAGCATTATTTAAACGCAGCACCTCCAACAGTAGGATCAGACACTCAGCAAYGAGGCCAGTTTTTTTTAGCTAGGGCTGCCGTAAGCCTAAACTGACAGTTTAACCCTACGTTTTCAAATCAAAGGGCCTTCAATTACTCAGGTTTCAAGACGAAATGACTACAGGTCAATTCTTACAGCTAATGCAGTAAATGCAGTTAGTGAAGAAGAAAAATGAATTAAGAGTTGAGTGATGCTGACACCAATAAATGCCCTCCAAAACATGAAACATACCGTTTGGGATCCTTGAGAAGATAAGCTTTGATGATTTTTAAATACAGAAAATTTGTAGCAAAAATTTTTGTTAAAGAAATTAAGGTTGGGGCTCTCAGCAACTACCATGAAGCTCCATCAATTGTTTCTTTTTTTCTTTTAAAAAGCTACAATGAATTTTATAATRCTTTATAATGCCTATCAATGTGTTACATCCTCAAGAAAGATCCTGATTTGTGACAAGTACAGATAAATTTGGCAATASTATTCCAGACTCCTGGAGTTTTATGTTTTATTTTATTGTAACCCAGTTTCAGACAGAATTATCTCAGTTTACTTTTTCAGTTATACCAGCTACTGACAGGTAAGATCCCAGGTATTCCCATTAGGCATCATATTTCAAAGGATAGGGTTGGTGCTTTTTTATCTATAAGCCAATGTAATCGACACAGACACATGTGAACATGGAATGCTGAATTAAAAATCCGAAGTAGTAAAATAAAAAACCAAAAGAGTAAACAGAAAGAGACAGAAAGGAGATTATATACACATATTAAAAAAAAAGAAAAAGAAAAGAGGTCTTTGAAATAAATGTGACAACACAGAATATCAGCTGCAGTGTTTTAAAGGCAGCTCTGGGACACTGAAAAAAAAAAAAACCAAAATGCCTTGTTTAACCCAGTAGGGGCTTTCAATTAGCCAGAGCTAAGTACAGTAGCAGCTCTCAGTGAAAGGTATTTCCTACCTTTCCCTGAACTGCACAGAAAAAAAAAATTAAAAAAAAAAATCACTCTAACCAGAGTTAAGGAAAAGTGATGTCTTTGCACAATGCACATCATCTGAGTTCAAGCTAGAAGTGCCTTCCCCTTATGTTGTTTATTCAATAGAGATTACAAACCCAATGTGTGGTTCTTACACTAGAGGCTGCAAGAGACGCTCAGTTCAGTACTCACGAGGTTTAAGTTAGTCCATATTGCTGCAGGAAGTGACCTGCGGAGGGGGAGCATGAGATGACACGATCTCACTCTTTTCACGGGAGAAATGTACAGTAAATGCCTAAAATAGACACAGGCTTTTCTGTATCATAACAACAAGCAGTGACCTCATCAGACACAAGTGTACAAATCGAATCCCAGCGGAAGGATTTGTCAATTAGTTATTGGGAGATCTAACTGTTTGCAGGTAAAAGTTCAGGAAAAAAAAAGAAAGAAAAATAATCAAAACAGGCCACAGATATTAAAATAGATGTGTAAAATGCACTGAGTACTGAAATTTCTGCTCATTTGCAGCAGTTCAATTTTACATCTCCAAATACTTACCTATATAGCAAATTTACAAGTGAACCCTTCTTCCCCACTCCCTTGAAAATATTACTCACAAAAGCTAGCTTAGTCTTAGGACTGAAAAAGCAAAGATAGATGCCTTATGAAATCCAACTTCCTAAGATCAGTAAGTAWGCATTTTATTTGGTATGAATTAACTGTGTACATAGTAGTAAAACCTTGCAAAAGTAATGTAATCTCTAAGTAATAAAGTGGTCCCAATTATTTTTTAATAAATAATATTTTTTTTTTAAATCTGCATTTGGGTTGGTATGCCAGTAAAGTTCTAGAAAAWACAGCAACAGCATACAGGGCAAAGTAGTTTTGCAGCAGATTTGCAACCATGTTGTCTGACTGAGGCTATGAATCATTAAAAAAGCAAATAAGAAAGCCATACAGGAATCAAGTATCTCATTCAATTCTCTACAGCTTTTCTTCTCTGTGGTGAGAGAGGCTGAGTGCAATGAGAAGGCAGAGTTTATAGTGAATCTGAGACTTTAGCCTAACTTGGAAATGTCCAGAAATCAACTCTCTTCATACAAGCAAGCACTCTCAGTCTTGTAGCTCTGACATATTYACTGCCCTAGTCCACAAAAAGAGAACCATGATATGCTGAGGAGTAAGCAAAAAGGATTGCTGAGTATTTCTTCATGTCTACACAGATATTTTAGGTATGAGGGGACATGAACTATATGCTGGAAACTAGCATGGCAAGACGACAGCATTTATTTCTATTTGCATAAGGCATCAGTTGCTAATACGCAGATAATTCAKTCTCCTTGGCATAAACCAAACTTGGTACAAGAATCTTAAAACTATAAATATGTATTTTGAGAAGGAAGAAGCAGGCCTAAAACCAACCAACAAAAAAAATGCTTAAAATATCATACCCTCAGCCTTTCACTCCCAAAACCACCATGTGCATAAACCAATCCTTATTTAACAATGACATCACTCTAGCCTGAGACATGTATTAGCACATGATACAAACACACAGAATTTTAAGTTGACTAAAGTTCACTATTTGCAGTACTTTCATAAAACAATGTTACAGTTGTCTTTTTTTTTTTTTTTTTGCATCATTACTATATTTTGCAACCTAGAGGAAAAGCTTTGTAAGTGCAAATCCCACTTCATGCTAATTAGGTVTTAGACTTTATGAAACAGAAAGGTCATATCCAAAAAAACCCCAACCCACCAAAAAACCTCCAACAAAACAATAACCCTCATTTAAGACTGAATTACTCAATTCCTTACTGAAACCAATGGCAGCTGAAAAAGAAAAACACCATTACTGATTATTTTTTGCTAATTGTGAAGTATTTATCCACCTTGCCAATTCTGAAACCTTAGGTTCCAAAGCAAATATTGCAATGATCTGCTGTATTAACCTGTCAACCAAATAAGAGCTCACATTTGATCTTGTCCCTGTTATTTTGTTATTTCTTTAAGGCGATTTGCATCATACAGCAATACAAACCTTGCAGGTAAAACTGTTAATAGCTGGTTTAAGTGCATTTTCTGAAATATATTAGAATTACAAAAACAAAGTTAGCACATTCCCAAGAAAGCAATTTTAATTTTAACTGCAGAGYCCTTTTCAAACATCAGAATAACACCAGAACAGAGTATTGAAATGTTGTTTGTCAAAAAAACTGAGAATTTCTGTATTGTACAGTGCCAAGACCTATGGTGTGAGCCTGCACTGAGCATTCTGTTTTGCTGACTGTGGTTTAGAAATACAACTGCAGAACTTGGGAWGTGTGAGAAAGTTAACAGCCCCAAGAGCTGCTCAATACTTAAACTTGTATACCAAAGTAAAAAAGGTAAACAGAAATCAAGGCTCAATAGAAATCAAGGCTCAATGTTTCCCCAGTCTCCTGCAGTCGTATGTACAAATGCACAACATCAACCCTCTGGAAATGAAGCAGCTACAGAATTCCAAGACAGACTACAGCCTGAGCCTGCAAACACTCAGGAAATGACAGTACAGCACATCTCCATAAATGTGCTTTTCACTACAGAATGAGGGCAAGAACTTCCAAAGATGAGGAACACTCTGACCTTTCATTTGTGTGCAGCACTGCAGCTGCAGCACTGCACAAGATGCACAAGTTGCCTTCAATCAAGGACAGACTTGTTCATATCACCCATACTTCCCCTGTCCCTAAATTTAAAGACATGTTTTATTCCCTTGACAAGGAGCTGAAGACTCTTTATTTTTCTTGGTGCAATTAACTGATTAGGATAAACTCTTCATTAACTCCCCTTCCATCCCATTCCCCATGCTGTTCACTGACAAATAAAACCACACACTTCTAGATAATAAAAAAAACCAACCAACGTTGCATTCTCCTTGCCTGACTTGGGCAAAATAAAAGAGCTTTCCTGGCATCTTAAACATGAAAAACTACCACAAAATTTCAGGTGCCAGAGATGAACATTAGTGTCATTTAAGTATAAAGCTCATGGCAGTTGTATTTTATATGCTATATGAACCTTTTTCTATCAGATTTTTAGCAAGAATTAAATAGAAATCTAATCCTATTCTKTATTCTGACATCACACATTTGTCAGTTCATTCCAGATTGCTGGTACACGCATTCTATAGGCTGGTTGTAAAATTTTACAGGAAATAAAAACTTCAACAATTAAATTGCCCAAATTCATCTGTGCCTATGAAGTGCTATGGCATATGAAAAAAAACTTGAAAATTTGTTTCTGTGCAGGAAAGGCATAGGCAACAACAGGTAAAGCATTGCCAGCCCGTTTTGATTTTCCAGCACAAGTCCAGGACCATAATTCAGCTCAGTTGCCTTTAACTCCTCCTTGTAAATGATCCCAAAGCACAGAATATACAAATCAAGCAACAAATGTTGGAAGGTGCTAAAATAAACCAAAGTTACACTGCAGATATAAAATAGAAATTATTTCTTCAGAGATAAAAATATATGAAAACTATGAAAAATCTGCTCTTTGACTCTTCAGTGGTAGAGCAAACTTCCCATAGACTGGTATAYGAACAAAGGAGGGAGAAATGTAACATAGAATTTACAAATATCTGCAGGCATATTTCTGAAAGACAAAAATCAGTCAAATATACAAAGCTGTAGCAGAAAGTGGTGGTAAAAAAGTTAAGAATTAAACCAGAAGTCAACACAAATAATGTTTACASCACACAGAGCAATAAGTTACTGTTTTGAAAGGTTACCTTTTTCATTTCACAAATTTATAATTGAAAAAGCAAGCATGCAGGTTTTCTAGAGAAGACRTTCACACACACTTATTTATCACCCAGTGCAGTTTCATGCATATATGCTCCAGAGAGCCTGTTTGTTTACTGACAGGCCAAGGCAGATAACCACTAAAAAGACATCATTCAATTACCAAACATGTTCTGTTTTGTTGGGGTTTTTTTTCCCACATTTATTGTCACCTCTCATTTTGCAGATATGACTGTAGGATGAAGCTAAAAAGTTACAGATCCTTACCTGCCACTCCAGCTGAAATCATGTGTACCTGGGTAGAATCTGGATTGAAAATACTGTTCAACTTTTCCTTGCAGTTTGAGTAAGCAGCAAAATATATAGCTCTAAAATTARAACAAAATCCAAGTTATGTTATGTTTTGCATGTCAAAATCCTTAATGAGCAGTGCCATTGAATTCACTAACTGAAGAGAATCATGGGCTAAAACTTCYTTTCTCAGTAAAGACCTACTCAAGRATTAACGCTTGCAAAGTAGTGGGACTATTCTACAAATGGAAAAGAAGAAACCAAATGTGACACTTGAACTTTCTTTTTTCAATTCCAATCAGCGAGGGGAAGGACAGATAGTTTGAAATGTGGCAGTGGTTTTGGGACAGTAGGAAGTTCAGCCAGGGAAGAAAACCTCAGAAAAAGTTCCAGTATTCTTCAACACTAATAATAGAACGAGTTCCTTCTAATGTACCTAAACTCATTTCAATAGCAAGACAATTTAAAGAGAACTGGCAAGTATGCAGCTTCTTTAAAAAAAACCCAAACAACATTCTTATTACTATAGCATTTAAGATTTAAATGTTGATAACTCATGATTATAAATATTTATACTYTAAATGCTAGAACAGCTGTGAAGCTGAGATTCACATTTTGTTTCCAGAGTTCTGCATTTGTAATGGACACTGAGTTTTGTCTCTGAATACACCATGAAAAATGTTGTAAACTTGTGCTAACTCAGGTTTGTGAGCTGGTGTCAAAACAAAGCTAGACAAAGTCAGCATCCCAATTGAATGTACTATAAAAATGCTTGGTTTTGCTCACTAAAGCTAAAAAACTTGTTTTAAGCACATCTAAACTTCACATTTCAGGTTGTAGCTCAGTCTTTTTAAACGTACAAGTGCCCCYCTGCAAGAGAAAAAGTGAACGTGCAATTTTTCCCAAGCAGGACATTAACCTCATTAGCTGTGCAAACATGTTTTTCTTTATTACAAAAAAGATAAAGTGCTTGTTTTATGGGTGTAATTTCCAAAATGGAACCTGAACTCAGTTAAGTACACTGGATGTGTTATGAAACATGCTTCTCTACAGCTTATTTAAACAAAGAGCTGATGTTAAATCCACTTAGCTAATGCTTAATTGAAATGAAGTACWGGGTGAAGACAGACTCAGCCAGAGGGAAATAAAGATGTGCGTATAAATAAAGTTTACACATTACATCAAGTTGACATTTTTGGTATGGTGGATGGGAGGCAACAAGCTAAGTATTTCACCTGAGKGAAGAAGCAAAGGGAAACAGAAGATTTATCATATAATTAACTGAAAAGAGRTAATTTGTCTTATTAATTGAGCATATTTCTCCTAGAGGATAGTCACTTATACAATAGAACCCATTCCTGGATAAAAATTGCTATTAAATTGATTATCAATATTGAAGATTTGATAGAACAGCGTAATCTATTATATAAAAGTACAGGCTCTCCAGACGAGGGAGTGCTGATATTTTACCTAATAGGTGTCAAGAACAAAAATGCTACTGAATYAACTTCAGCTTTTCCAAACAGCAATGCTAAGTTAGTGATGAGAAAATACTTGAGATATTCCTAAATCCTTTAAAAAAGTCTAAAATAAAAATAACTCAATTCCTCCATTATGGTTTTCTCTTATTCATGCAGAGAATCTATCGAACACTACCACATCAAAACTAAAGTTCAGTTTAATGATATTTTTCAGAAACATCCAAATACCTCAAACCAGAAAAGTTAAGATACTCTCTAAATTAGAGTGTGCAGGACACTGAAATGTTTTCAAACAAAATAAATAAACAAAAGCAGGACACTAAGTCAAAGGAAGAACAAAACCTGTGTGAACTCTATTCCCCCTGCATAAAGGCTCTTCTAAATAGAAGAGCAAAAATATGGGCCAGGAAACAACTGCAACTGTTTCTATAATGTAATTACTTAATCYTGGGTGAGGACAAAGCTGTGTAAAAGCACTCTTCCTATGTATTGTCCTATTTTTGGRCTGAACTTCAGCTAACACTTCTATGCAAGGATAAATTCAAACTCTGGCATAATCTGCTCCTCTCTGCCTGCCAGCACCAGCTRAGTAGCTGGGGTATTTGTGCTGATRCAGAGCAACAGACAACAGCACMGCCACTGCCAACTAGATCAAATTTACATCCTCGGCCCCTGCACTGCCCCAGTACCCTTTGGAGCCCAGCCCAGCTGGATCTGCTTTCTCTGGGACAGTTGCTAAGTCTCTCATCTTACCCAGTGTCTCACCCTTTCTGAAGATTCAGAACAGGCTTCCTCCTGCAGGGAAGCACCAGGCTGTGYTTCACCAGAACTCAGGAAGGAATACCCAGTGTATGAGGCTACAGTCACAGAATTGCTTCCTGAGCATGATGGATTAACTGAAAGCCAAGTCTGCCTTTGTATTTTCCAAGATCCAAACTTCCAGTTTACATGTGCAACTCCTCAAGCACTTTTTCTTTTTAACTAGACAAAACTCCGCATAAGGGATAGTACACAACAGTAAATACTATTATAGTGCACACAGGATAGGAAAGGTTGAGATACCTGGAGCTCTGGAGTACATAAATGGCTCAATTCCTTAGGCAAAAAATTACCSTAGAAACCAAAGGCTTCTTGCTGCTAATTAACTATTTATAACTGCWGATGCAAGACTTGTTTCAAATACAATTTAAATCCCTTGATGTATTTCATTTATTGTGCRTGTTTGTACTTACCTGGAAGGAGCAACACCTACTAAATTAGGACCCAACCCTCTGAACAGAGAACGAGGGCCTTCATTTTGCAAGATCATCCTAGAAAAGAAAGAGATAATACTGAAACATTCAGAACAAAATTAAGGAATGCACTAACCACCAAAACTACATAATGTGAAAAACTTTCATAGTAACTGACAATAATACAGTGCCGACTACAAAAAAAAATTAGTCACTTCTTAGAATCAGCATGAAAAACTACGTTATTGCTCAACATGCCACAAAAACCATAAACTAAATGCAAAGTAAAACTCAGGATGTCAATACAGATTTAACTTCCATGTAGGAGAATGCACATGCCCAGAGTTGTCTGTTGGGAAGTTAAAGRAAGTGTCCTTGAATCAGGGAGAGAATACTCAGCATGGAAATGTTCCCATTCGTGTAGATTGTAGATAGTTAAGGATGCAAAAATAGTTGAATTTATGCTACATTCCTTTCACTTCCCTTYAGCTCTCAATGTTTGTGAACTTCTTTGAGTGGGAGGGCCAGGGAACAAAAGGCAAGAGAGAAGGAGAAGAGGCAGAGTTCAGAAGTTCAGTCTCACTGAGCCATTGCTGTTTGAGAACCACTCTGCAGGATGCTGTTCTACTGYTTATGACACCCAGCCAGGAACACCTTTGGCAATTTATTATCTCCTCCTGTCAAAAGGAGAGAGACCTCAACGTAGCTTTGCATGTGCTACCCCCCAGTGCAATTCTACAAGATTCCCAACAGAGCACTGAGTTCCATGGCAGAAACTGCTATCTGGAAGGCTGCTTTCCTCTTTGCCCTGCCTTTCTCATCCCATAAATTACTGAAATCCACTAACTATTCAACTAGAAGCCCATTCTTAGCTTTATTCTTTAAGACATGATGATTAGTTTGACTACAGTAAAAGGAAATTGAGAACTTCACTGTGAGAAGTGGCCCTTCCTGGAGGCTGGCAGGGGCTCTCTCCTATCAGTTTTGAACTGCTGCCTGTGTGTTCCTACCCAAGCACTGCTGCTGGGCTGTAAAGCCAGTGGTTTTTTGCTTTTTGACTTGTTCCAGAGAAGACAGCCCTTACCTACCCATGCAAGGTAATTCACTGATGGTACCTGAGACAGGAGTGTAACCCATGCAGAGTCACAGCCACAGTACAATCCTCACATCTCCTGTACCACACCTACTACAAACACAGCTCAGGAAAGATTGCTTGGGTGGTAACAGGATGTAACTCTCCGCCATTTGTGGAATTTACAGAGAAGCAGGGATACAAGCAGCGGGTTGAGACCTCAAATGAGGCATTACATTCCTTTAGTGTTTGTAGAATGGATGGCATGTAGTTGAGGATTTTAGGAAGAGTTGAAAACTGTAYCATGCAAGGTATCATGGCACAGTAAGAGACTGTGCATGAACGTTCAGTTTTAGTGAATCTGCCCCACAATCTAGAWGTTAATCACATCAGTATTTTACAAATAGGACATGGGAGGGGAAACAAGAACTACCTGCATCCCATTACTGCAAATTGCTCTAGCWATTACTTTGGAACCAGATTTAAAGTTAAGAATTAACTACATTCCCAGATGCTGCAAAACAGAGCCACGTGCCTATTGATTTAGAAACTTTGGCCAATGCACATGAACAGTTCTCCTGTATATTTTGATTTCAAAGAACCATGCAGGTTAATGACAATTACTCAATAAAGCAAACTAACCTTCTATAAATGGCTATTTTGTTTGGAATTTACTCTCAGAAAAAACAAGTGAAAGCAATCTATAGCACTGAAGGAGATTCCATGCCTATTCTAACTTCCAGTAGCTGATTCCCCACTGCTCTGCTGCTAAATCAAACTGAAACTTCACCCTTGCTTTCACTACACAAAAATAGAACAGTGGTTCTGCAGTTACCAMTGCTGTTTAGGAATGCTGATACGTAATGTGTCCAGCAACATCCTAGCTTTGTGTCCTTAACAATTAGAACTTCACTATGTGGGCAGCATTGCTTCACAGCACTAACTGGAATATTGAACACAYRCTCRAAGATACCTTGGAAATACAAATTACTTAGACCTGTTTGTCATCCTGAAAGCATTTTTATGCCTTGAAATGCTGAACTCAATTAACATGATCTGTGTTCACTTAAACCACTCCTTAAAAATCACTACCACCACATCAYGTGCTACGCATCTATCGATGCACAYACAGTAATACATGTATTCAAAGCAGCAGGAATCTCAGTGTCTTAAGAGAAACTTAGGGGTGAAGGGTTCCAGGTCTATTTGCTGCTTCTGGATCTACAGCTCCAGAACTGGACAGAGCAGCAAAAAGCTAAAGAGAGATTGCAACAGACAGGATTATAATGAAGATAGTTACTGTGCTCTTTTGCATTCACAGACACCAGCTGGAAGAGTGCCAGAGGCTGCACTGAAAATAAGACACAAACTTTTTTCATTGAAGAGCAGATCTCAGAGCCTGCACTTGTTTATTGAAAGCAGTTAAGGGCAAATCCATGGTTGGAAGAGCAGGACAAGCGCTCCAYACAGCCTCAACTGACCTTCTTAGGTCACATGGAGAGCCTGTACTGGGAGGCTGGTGAGATTTCCATTAGCAAGACCTCAGGTTTAAATTGTACAGGATGAATGATGAGAATATGTAATATATCATGCAAAACAGATATTTAAGAATAAAAGAATTCACTTTTCTCACCAGAGAATAGAGTCACCTGTTTTTCCGAGTTTGTTTTGAAGTCACCTCCACCGATGTTTAAAATGCAGAAGTGATTCTACAGCAGTCAGTTCACTGAAATTCTGACATAATTTGCCTGATTCAGTCTGCTTTTAGACTGTGTAATGTGGGCCTTGGAGCACTGCACCAAATTTGTTACGAGACAACCAAACTCTGACAATTCTGAGTCCAAAAATATCAAGTGACAAGTAACGCCAGGACAATGATAAAGGAATCCAGTTTTATTTCCTCACTAAATAGCCCTAGTACTTAACCAAGCGTAATTATGTCCTATACCTATGTATTTTTACTGTCACAGTCCACTGCCATGTCACTTGGGATTTTTTCATATTTACTGTATTTAAAGAACTTGAAGCCCAGGCTTTGCATCTCAGCCCTTTGATAATGACCTGAAAGAAAACACATCTAAGCAAAGAACTAAAGCAGCAGAAGAGACACATTCTTATCTAACACATTAACAGCATGTGCAATAGGGCAATTGTTAAAGACTAATAAAACAAACAAGCCCTACCAATGAAGCTCATCATGGACTACCTCTACCTCAGTCTGTATTTGCTTCCTGGGAATACCAAGTTTTTTTCAGTTTTAGGGATGCATTTAAAGTATAGCAGGCTTCTAGCAGAGAGGCATAACAAATACACATTTATTCAACCTGCTATTCATTTATATATGTTTCTAAATGGAAAATAAATTGATAACCAAACATGCAGAAAGAAGCTGAAGCACATGACTTCCATCAAGAGAAGCCAATGAGTCAAGTGCGCTGGATGAAATTCTCCTTGTCACAATCCAAGCCTTTCCTTCCCACACACCTGTTCCAAACATGTTCATCCATGAGATCATCACACATGAAAAGGCTCCATATTAAAACTTGACAATAAGAATGATCTTCCATTCAAGGAGCTGTTTGGGAACACCCTCCATTTAAGCAAATCCTATCCTCTAACCAGATTGAGCTTAAATCCTACACTTCAGCTGCCAGAAGGGGCTCTCTACAAACTACTCACTAATTAATTGGGAATAGAAGATAGAATTTGTCAACACTCAACCAACTTTCTAATACAAGGAACAGCAGCAGGTCCTTCCTGGAGGAAATATCCCCTCATTCCCAAATACTGAAGGTACCTCCCCTTCCCTTAAGTGGCTAGCAGGGTGAAGTAAACCCTTCCTGTGGGCTGTACAAACAGTAACTGTGGCCTTATGACGTTGCTGTTGGCTCCTGAACTACATAAGCACTGACAGCAAGGAGAGGAAAGGCAGTCCCCATTCAGTGAGGCACTACACAAACAAGACATCCTGGATCATTGCAAAAGCTAGCCTTAGCTGTTTTTTACTAGCTCTAGGAGTGTTACTAGTCACACTTCCACCTGAAGACATTCAAAGGCAGAAACTGTCTGGGGCAGTGAAAGATGAAAGAAACTATGAAGCTAAGTTAATCTTAATTACCCCCATATTCAGTAGCTTCTATGATTTGGACACGAAACAGTTTTAAAAAATTTATACTAACACTTTTTAAGGATGAAAATGGGAGTCTGGCATTTACATGTTCTCAGTAAATTTGGGATGCAGTTTGGAGCTGTGAGTTGTACAAGGTATATGTGCTCTGCTAATTCCCAATACAAGCTCAAGCACAAAGGGCATTCAAAAAATTGGAAACACTGTTAAAAAGCATAACATGGAAATTAATTTCATTGGTAACATGACAGTCTGAATCTTTCACACAGATTTATTCAACACATCTCTGTCCTCCGCTCTCCCCAAAATGAACCCAAACCCCTTGTGCCAGGTAYACTCACTTCAGACAATGAAGAGGTCCTGGAGAAACTCTGGTTACTCGATTGACGGTAGCACCATTCACAGTGTTGAGATGAACCTCAGAGATGTAGAGAGTCACAGAAGAGGACTGCAGTCGTGTTTTTACAACTTCCAGTGGACATGTCAGAATTGCACCAACAGTACCCCCACATCTGCCAAGATAAATAGGATCGTCACATTTTTAACTGCAAAGATATATTCACATAGAATTGACATTATACTCAATATAGTCACTGCAAAAAGTGAAGAACCAATKGYAACATGTGTGACAATGATACAGTTATTTGCCCTTGGAGGCAAGCAAACTGTTTAGTCAGTTTGCAAACCCCACAACTTGAAGTGAAATTTAAACAGACAGAAAGTAGTGAAGGTGCATAGTCTTCAGTACATGCTGTTCAAATCAGATCTGGAAAGTAGCTCAGTAGCTTAAATGTTTAACTTCTTATGGTAAATTTTAACTTTTTTTTTTTCAATGTGCAGTGTGTTCATGACCACAAACAAGATGCCAAAAATCCTTAAGGGCAGAAAGATTTATGCGCTATGCACACAGGGATACATAAAAAAACTGGTAAAATCTGTGGTGTGGCAATATAATAACATCTTCAAAAGTCCAACTGTATTTTGGTCATTGTACCATGAAAGCAGTGATTGTCCAAGCGCTTCCCAAGCTCTGCCCATTTCAGCAAGGCAGAACAGGTACTGTGGAGTAGAACCTGCAGAGCCAGAAGAGCTCACGTTGCAGGGTTTCCTTCAGTCTCTCATTTCTGAGAGTGAGCCAAGGCAAGCCGTGCACAACATGTGCTGACAGAGCAGTTCCTGCCGTTCTGCTCGAGCACAGCACAGCCAGGAACACACTGCCCCGCACAGCTCTGCTCAGAGCCTTCTTGGGCTTCTTCAGAACTCTGTTATTGGTATCTACATTCCTAGCTGTGCAACTACAGCCTCTGAGGGAAAAAAAAAACAAATCCACAAATTCTGAGTTCCAAGACATCTCAAATTCTATGGCATTACATTACAAAAAAAAAAAGAAAAAAACCCGAAAAACAAAAAAAAAACCCAAAACTACTTTCCTTGAACCTTTTCAGAGATCAGTATTAAYACTGCTAAACACCCTTCTTAAAACTAAGGCCAGAGCACTACCTGTCTGTCTCATTTAAAAAACAAASAAACAAAAAATTCCAACCTAAAGAAGTAAACCCAGATTTCAATTCAGGTATTGACGGTAACTACAGCTCAGTTTGAAATCCACTAACACATAGATACAATTTGTACTAAATTTAAAGGGCCCAGCATTCACTTCCCCTAATAAATATATATATATAGTAACAATATATATTAACTTGAAGAGTTGCTGGATTTTGACAAGAAAGTTATCACCTTTTTTTTCTCCTTGCACAACAAACTCAAACACCCTCAAAACCTTTAAAAAGTTTGGGTGACTGTTCAAGCCTTTTTAAAATAATGTTTTATGAAATGCAAAGGAGAGTTAAGTCGGAGTTAGGAGTAAGGGCTAAGACTTAAGGTCTCCTATAAATTTTCATGGGAGAATACTCTGATGACTCTTTTCTACCACAGACAATACAAAAAATACAGCACTGCATCCTACAAACCTAATCTGTTTGTATGAAGTGAACTGAGAGTACAGCTGCCAAGTAGAAGTTTGATGATGTTCTCTTAACTCCATTTAAACTCAGTGACCCAGAGGTATCCTATTACTAAGCCTAAAGGCATCTTGCCCATCCCTAACTCCAGCATTAGCCTGAAGTTTATTCTCTTCAAATATTTAATTGAGGAAAGATATCGAGTTTCTTTGYCTGTCTGGAAAAAAGCGTTATCACAGGAAGATGAAAGACAGTCTTTCAGAGTGTGCCGCGCTCATGCAGTTACAGCCTGACACAGACCTTCAGCAGCCTGCTCTGAATGAGCAATTCACTTGCTTTAACAGTAAGCTACAAATAGACCAATTTTAAAATCAGAGTTGCAGAAAGACAGAGTAGATGTGATAATATTTATTTTAGCCAGTGTTGGAAGCAGCAGGAGCCTGTTAACATATGAAGGTTCACAACATGAACAGCACGTGAGAAGCACAGGCRGGTCAGCTCTCAAAACAACTTCACATGAAGCTACTGAAGCTCTAAAGCTCTGAGACAAAGTTGCCATGTTTCCTGCAGCTCGAAACAGACCCCACTCGATCGTAATGTGTCTGTGCAGGCARTRTAGGAAGTTKGCTTTAGTGTTTATTTCCWTTYTTRYAACCTCTCCATTTCTGCYCCCCTTGCGCTTACTTTCCTGAAAKCTTTTCTGCATTTGATTTTGGACAGGTTACACAAGAAYTCGTTTTCAAGCAACAGTAATCACAAGAGAAAGCACGAGGTAGGATTTATATTAACGAGATAAATGCTATGGGACTGGAGAAGAAAATGAGAACAAAAAAAACTTGACCTGCATTCTTGAACACAGCTTGGAGTTTGGAGCCCTTAATACTCCCCTCAGCTACATCAGAGCAGAAAAATTTTCTAAAGTTGAAGATTAACACTGACCTGGAGCTCGTGCCTGCATGCTCCCCTACGCCACACCCAAATCACATGGGATGCCTGACTGCAGCAYTCCTGCCAGACATGCACTGTGGGTGGGTCATACACCCTTCACTCAGCAATGGATCACTGGGGAAGAGGGCTGATACACAGCAACTCTGTGCTTGCTCCTTGTACGCTTGCCCACAGCAGGCACTGGACACTGACAGCCAGCACTATGTTCACATCCATCATAAAGTAGCAGCAGATCCACTTGCCTTAAGAACCCTTTCCTGTGCCACATTCTGCCATTCAAGTAACTTCAAACAATCAGCACCCTTGGCAGTTTTTTGCTGTTGTCTTTCTTTGGCTAGGCTTTTCTCAAACAGTTCAACACGTCTCAACCCAAGAATATTCTCAATGTTTTTCACTATTGATAGATAGAATTAAACTTCTCTGTCCCCAGTCAMCAAGATCTCAAATTGCTACTTACAGCTGAAGAAAGCTGAGAAGTTTCACAGTGCTATGTGGCTCTGTAATGTGAGTCTTGGCAAAATCCCAAATTTCTACTTCTATCAAAATAATACGTCATTTTCCCAGCCCCCTCTGCTTATTACAGAGACAACAGCTGAAACTGAAGGAGTAAAAGAGACGCATTGATATGTTGAGAAACCAGAACTTTCTCAATGGTCACAAGACCCACTGTGGTTGAATTAAACTACTAAATGAGGGCATAATCCAGTAACCACCCTGACTTGTCTACTTCACTGGACCTTTAAGATAAACACCACGAGGCTTGACAAAAATCTGTTTATGAAAAACTGTCAGTACACAGAGTTGGTGGGTAAACAAAAAAGAGAAACAATTCAAGAATATGCACTCTGTACAAATAAGCAGCTCCTAAGAAGCASAGCAGCTGTTCTGTCACCAGCATCAATGACAGTGTATTTTACTTAGCAATGTATTTCCGGCCTTGCTTATTTAACACACTTCTGGGAATATCATCAGAGACAGCTACGTTTTTGTGTTCAAATCCTTGTAGGCTATTAACGGAGCCACCGGCTCCAAGCCTACAACAAGTGCCCTATAAATTGCAGACTTCTGCCACCTTTCCTGGTCCCCCTCCTCAGTGGCTCAAATTAAGGGCACTATTTTTACTTTGTGGTTTAACATAAATTAGGAACTAGAACAGTCCAGAAAAACAATTTTTAACAGTTTTAGAATTGTTAKATTCTATTCTTGAGATAATGATAATTTTAAAGAAACAGAAGCCATGGCTACCTAGTGCTAGTTTCAGAGTTACATTTCACAGTATTTGTAACCACAGCTTTAAAGACTTGAAGATAACCCTTGACCYTGTTATCTTGGGTCTACATTCATTCATGTATTTTACCAGCTACTTATCTTTCCTGTATAAAAATGAAAGCTCAATGCAAACATTGGCTGTAAAAAAACAGCAAGAAAACAGAGCTCAAAATTCTGTCAAAAAAAAAAAAAAAGGCACCCAAGCCACTTACAAACAGAACACCTTTTCATCTCTTCACTTACTGCAAGTTCAGATCCCAAGTCTAACAAAAATTTCATAGAGCTGTCTTACAACCAGARCAACTTTCACATCAACAAAGTCACAGATTTGGATATTAAGTGTACAGTATCAGTCCTTTGTGAGTATAGAAGGGCTTTAGCAAGCACAGCTTTCAGAAACAAGAAGAAACAGCATTCATTAATCCTGAATTAATGTTTTCCTGTCATTATACTGGTCAGCTTGAGTACTAGCAGCCAGAAGCCCTTAACACCCTTACCTGCCAGTCATTTTTCTTTGCTGAAGCTTGGAAACTGTAAGTTAAACTCACATCCTTAAACTACAAAGACTAATCAAACTTGCTATTTCTAATTAACAGTGTCAAAATAAAATCCCACTGATGTGCTGCCACATAGAAACTAACAAGTGAAAACAGGAAAAAAATCACCAGGGAATCAAGCATCACTGGGTTCCATTATCCAAAACAAACATCAACATGAATAGTGTAGCTTCTATTAGGAGCCAGGGTAAAYCAATATTTACARCAACGTTTGTATTAAGTAAAAACAGCTCAAAGCATCTAGGAAGAAAYACAAGAAAAATACCAGTGGCACAGTTTCTCAAGTACTGACAGCAAGTTTCATGCAATTTAGTAATCCCATGGAACAAACCCCAAGCTTTAAACAAACACAGTCTTATTTCACACAGAAATGTATCCAAATATAAAAATAACCTGAAGTTTGGACAGAAAAGCACTAACCTCCTTCTCACTTGTTCTGAAACTCATCCAGGGTTATGCCAGCAATGTATTTAGGGCAGAGAAAAGCTGAGTACTTGGCAACTCAGTTAGGGCTCAAGTGGCTGTCTTCTGAAAGGGCGTTAAAAAGCCCCTATCATTACAATACCTGCTACAWATTATTAATATTCTTCTCAAATCAGAAAAGGGTCTCTTACTTTTGCTTCATCTATTTCAATGGTGTCTGATCTTGCTGAGAATTCAAACACTTATCTTAAATACATTTCCTGAACCTTAACCATTTCAGCCACTACAGGAATTTATTAAGGACCCCTGTAAGACAGAGTGATTTCAATTATAGACCAGTTGGGCATAGTTTTATAATCAAGAGAAATAAATATACTCCTCCCTATACTTCCTCACACATAAAACTACAGAACAGCCAAATTTCTGCAAAAACAGCAAGAATGAAGAAAATAAGCAAGCCTGAGACCATCCAGCTGTGAACTCAGAAAAGCAGCTGTCCAGCTCCTAACCCAAACCCCTTCTTTTGCTGAGGAAACAATGCTCAGGCAAGTCCACTGCTCCGATGGAAGTTAGTATGACATAGAATTACTATCATTAGCTATCTGGAAATTAATAATAAATAATGAAAATCTGAATATTATTTTTGTAGCCAACACCTGGATTTTCACTGTATGGATGCAAGCCAGTATATCCAAAACAWTWATCTTTCCTATAAARCATWAAGGTTATCTACTACTTTTTTTTGGTAAYGAGTTTTAACAACTAGAAAAGCAAYTACAACTTACTAYTTGAACTAAAATGTTAATCTATAGCCTACATTTCAACCACATGATTTTTTAATTGAAGAATGGAGAATGTTCAACTTCATCCTTAGTTTTGAATGAAAGCACCTGAATTTATACTATCAACATACTGTCTACAGTGACAACAGTTGCTACTTGACTAAGTGGTGGAAAAAGAGAAGATAGACAAAAAAAACCCCTACAGACTACGCAGCTACAGAGAAATCCCAGGATGGCCCCATTTAGTTTGCTAAACCAGCAATGTCATCTGTTCAAGTGTCACTGAAGAAAGCAGGAACTGAAGAAAGAACTTGAACATTAAAAAAAAAAGTCAAAAAACCAGCAGATGATCATGCTGTTTCCACAGAGGCTCTGGTGCAACTTAAAGGAAGGAAGCTTTGTTTGCCTTTAAGTTTCACTGAAGACTAAAGATCACTCAGGTGATCTATGCTTGCAAAGTCATGGGATGACCCCAAAAAACTTTTCTACTGCATACAGTGTTAGCTTGGCTGAACTAAGGTTACAAGAAACATGTGGCTGGCACTCAGCCTCATCCTCAGAGCATAACCCTTGACCCAGCTGGCCAGCACCTGCCCATCGACCAGACYGCTCAGCATAAATAGGTATGAGCAAGCTGAGCTGAGCAATCTTCATCTGCTCTCGAGTTTCAGGTTTATAAACCTGTGTCTGACATAACATACAGTTCTGTCCAGTAATCTCCTGTGTGCAGAGCTGTCAACCTGAAGAGCTATAAGAASGYCCCACTCACAGAATCCTCRGGGCTGGAAGGGAGCTCTGGAGATCCTATCATCTAATGGCYCTGCCAAGGTAGGGACACCCAGAACAGGTAACACAGGTTTGGAATGTTTCCAGAGAGGGAAAGCCCACAGCCTCCCTGGGCAGCCTGGTCCAGTGCTATGCCACCCTCAGTAAAAAGAAGTTCTTCCTCATGCTGAGATGAAACTTCTTGCTTTTTAGTTTATGGCCTCTGCTCCTTGTCKTTCACTGGGCAYCACTGAAAAAAACCTGGCACCATCCTCTTGACACCTCTTTGAGACGTTCATATGCATTAATGAGATCCTTTCTTAGCCTTCTCCAGACTGAGACAGAAAACAGGCCCAACTCCCACACTGTGCTMTCATATCAGAGATGCTCCAGACCCCTCTTCATATTTGTAGCCCTCTACTGGACCCTCACCAGCAGCTCCTTATCTTTCTTAAGCTCCTGCTACTGTTTTTGTGAATGTTTACAAGGATGAAGAGTCTGAAGGAAAAAGTACACACTACTCTATCCTGAGCCTGCTGCTGCATAACCACTCTCCTCTTAAACAGAGAGCAAGCTATTAAGGGGATGAAAAAGCCCACACACAGGCACTAGAACAGGTGCACAATGCTGCAAACTGTGCCAAAAGCAGAGAAAATACTCACATGTATCCMAGTYACTCAGACTTGCTCAGAATCARTACACCTCAAATTCTTCCAYCATAAACACCTCAGTCCARAAGCAGCAAGCTCATTTTTGTCARTGAAGAACACAAAGGGAAATCACAGCTTCAAGCTCTCTCGTGCGATGCAAGGCGTGTCYTCAGTCTGTCACTTCTGCAGAGCCATGCTCACCACCCAAATACACTTTTACAGTCAGGCCYATGAGGACCCCCAGCTCTCCCTTTTAAACTGCGTGCCATTCCCACCCTCCCCCTGGAAGACATACGGGCTGTGCAACCCTATATAGCCCATACACTTTGAAACACACACATTTTGAAACTTCCCTAAGAGCTGTGAGGGTACAAAAGTTACCTTAAACCTAACTAAAGCTACATCTCTATTTCTGGGTACATTCTYCCCTCCCATTTCTTCTGTCTTGGTGGGTGGCGAGCTGCATGACCGYGCCAAAGCCCCACACGGAAGCGCAGCGCACACTGGAGCGTTGAGAAGCATTCCATGGATACAGCGGCCCTTGGACACGAGCGTGACCAGCAGGGCATTCCTGGCCCGCGGGGAGTCCCGGCAGATGAGAGGGACAGGGCTGGTTTTACGGGAAGCCTCCCCGCCGCCTCCCCAAGGGCCCGCGTTCCACCCGTGACACAACGCAACACCCGGGGCCGGGGCCGGGCCCGACCGCGCGCAGCGGGCCCGGAAGGGCCTCAGGGCACGGGGCGGGAAGCAGAGCGCGGCCCCCTCTCCCCTTCCTTCCGCGGTGCCCTCGGGCACAGGRGACCGGGGCAGCTCCTCGCAGCCCTACCGAGAAGCCCCCAGACAGCCGCTACAGGCCGCCGCCGCCCCCGCGCCCAGCCCAGGAGCAGCGGGCACAGGAGTGGGGGCAGAGCCGCAGCCCGGGGAGGAGAACGGCAAAGCGCAGGAGCCGTTCCCGGGGCTTCGCTTCACCTACCCGCCGGCAAAGAGATGCACCAGGGTGTCTCTTTGGCTCATCCTCGTCGCCTGCACCCGGGCRGGAGGAAGGAGGTGCCGGGCGCTTCCGCCCCGCGCTGACGGCGCCGCTCCTGGCGGGGCTCACAATAAATACGGGCGGGCCGGCTCCGCCTCCRCTGCCGGCGGGGCTCCGCAGGCACACGAGCCGCGGCTTCCTCTGAGGGAAGCGGGGCCGGGCCGAGCCGAGCCCCGCCTCCCGCTGCCGACACGGCTCCKCAGGCACACGGGCAGCGGCTCCCTGAGAGGGAAATGGGGCCGGCTCGGGCCCGCCCTTGGCCGCGGCCGCTGCGGCACCGAAAGTGCGTGGTTATGAATATGCATGAGATGAATATGCAACGAACCCTCCCCCCAGCAAACAGGGGCTGCTATTGGCTGCGGGGMGTGACGTCACGCGGGCACCGGGCCCGTGTCGCGAATATGCAACGAACCTGCTCGCCCCCTCAGGTAAACAGAGGCCGCCATTGGCTGCGGSCTGTGACGTCACGCTGCCTCTTAAGGCCGGGCCCGCCGTGAGGCGGCAGCGGTTCGGTGCGGTGCTTTAGGTGTGTAAGGCCTGTCCTCGATATTCCAGAACTTTCTGGGCACAGTGCTGTTCCCTGGGCTCTGGGATAACCCTGCCTGAGCAGGGAGGCTGGGCCAGATGCCCCGCTGTGGTCCCTTCCAACCTGTCATGCTAGAAGGTCACATGCTGCAAGCGCAGAAAATGTGGGGAAAAGGGATATGAAAACCAACCCCAATGCCCTCAACACCCTCAGGCAGCAGCATTAGTAAGGKGTGTGGTGGCCTTAGTTTTTGTTTCCTTTTGGTTTTGAGTTCTGGGTCATACCCTCAGCTGCTGAAGTAATGCATTTTCCCAAAGAGGCACCCAAACGCTGCTCCTTGTGTGTGTTTCTGAAGGGAGTATCTCAGTGAGTGTCTTTCATCTTGGTTTTCCTCAAAAATTTATAGATGAGGGGAAATAAATAAGGCTAAACAGGAAAACATTTAACATCATGTGTAAAATTTTCATCAGAGTTGATATTTTGAAAATCCAAGCACCWAAGGGCACATAAACAACTAGCTAAAATCTTCATGAATATCCACTAGCTAATATCTCMGTGAATATTTTGCTGCCCCCAAAAWTATTCRAAAGTRGAAGCAGCTATTTCATAATAGCAAAACAGTTTTTAGTAAAACAGTATTGCATTCTCAAAGWTATTTCTTAARCAAGAAATGCTCTCTCAGCAAGCGAGCTCATGTAGAAGACAAATAACTTGGAAATGTAATGTGAGATTTTGAAAGTGTGGTGGGAGTTAAGGAGGAGGTTGGGTGGGAGAAGGCTTGGACAAGTGTGACATGTGGAGATGACGGGGGAGAAAGTTGTTACAGTGAACTGAGACAAGGAAAAGTAGGACAATGATTCTGCAGCTGGGATTCTGCATTGCCACTCCACACAATATGTASTTGAAACTAGCAAATAGATGAGGAATAATTGTTCCAAAGTAGAAAGACATGCAAGACTTTCATGAGCCTGTAGTACGTATGTGTGAGATATATTGCATTTAATATTTAAAAGTGAGAAAGGATCATTTGCTACTTGGCACAAAATTTCACACAGAAAGAGTAAATATATCCAGGATAATTAAAACAGATACATTGAAAGTATTGGAGAGTTCCAACAATGATTTTATTAAATCCTACATGAAAGATGGTCATATGCCAAATATTTCATGTGAGGTTATGGRTCCAATTTTTTTCAAATTCTGTCAGTAGCTTAAAAGGGAWCAGAAGATGGGTTTTCTGCAGACCATGTGATTCCACCCAGCAAGCACATGTCCCAGTAAACTCAAAAGAAGATTCAATACCAGACCCAGGCTCTGCTTTATTTTGTCTCTGTATAAGTGAATTCCTGATCTGGGAGTTTTTAACTTCATCTGGCACTGATGGCTTCCATTGTGACAAGTGAAAAAATGTAATGTGATTATTTTCATGAATACTCATTGAAAAGCTAGAATAAGTAGAACTATTGAAACATATTATTTACATAATTAGATGCTTTGTATTTTTTAAAAAATGTATCTTTTATATAGAAAATTTACATATTCCATGAAATGTTTAAAAAGCCTGACACAAAATGTTTTCAATTTTAATTAGAAGTCTGAAGCATTTTAATTCAAAATATTTTTGCAGTATTTCTTGAACACTGACTTTAATACTACTTCTATGCTCCTTGCTAGGCTGGGCTTTCTGGTTGGACTGCRTATCCCATAATATTTGATGGATATGGATTCTTACAGTGCATTTTCCCTTTCATCCATGAGGGTAAGTGTGGAGGGGAAATGTCTCGGGGGATCACACCTGACAGCTCAGAATATAAATAAAAGCATCCAAATTTTATTAAATCCCATTTTCAAAAATCTCATTCATACAGGTTTTTTTAGGATTCTATTTTTTCCATACTTTTATTGCAAAAACCAGAGAAACTCTTMTACTTAATGTTCTGCCTTTATTACCTCTTGATTCCTTAGAAATAATAATTTAAATAAGAATTTTTTGTTTGAGTTTTGGGCTTAATTTTACTATTCGTCTTTGCGTATTTAAGAGTGTGATAGAACTCAACAAAGATGCCATAAGGAGAAAACATGTAACAAAAAACTTGGAGACTTTGTTTCAGTTTTTTCTAACTTTTTTTTCTGAGGATACATGTAGCATCTGCTGCACTTTTAGTCTTGGAACAGAGCACACCCTTTCTTAAGGTGTGGCTCATTGGCTGTCTACATAAAAAAGAGCAAGAGAATACATTAGAATATCTGATATAGCTGGGTTTTTTCTGTTCCTTTATAGCAGCTTAAGGTGGGAGAATACRTTTTTCCCAAGCAGCAGAATCTCTGCTGCCTTTTTTCCAGTTAGGTTGCCAAAAMTTGCATTTGTCATTCTTGTCAGAACTACAGTGTTGGATTCATCTCCTTCTTAATATGGTTATAATGGCCCTCTATTTTTCTAKTATTTATATGACCACATTTCACAAGTTTAAAATATACAGGAAATGGGACCATAACTCCCCATCTGAAACCTGGATTTAGTGTAGTCATGGTTTTGTTTACCCTATAGTATTCCTTCAACAAGAACTTGCTATCTTTTGCCAGTGCCAAGGTCAACCCTCATAAAACAACAGAAAACAGTATTTGTACTAAACATTCTATTTAAAATATTTAGCATTCTTTGATATTCTGTTTATCCAAGTGATACATTATTCGTTTTCCAGACCAAGCTCACAGAAATGGATATTCTCCCTTCAAGAAATGGGAAAACAAGGTTTATTCAGTTGGGAATTTTTGTTCTGAGGGTCTGAACAATTTTAATCCATTTCTTTCTCCTTCTATGAAATTTTTCTGCCTTGGGATAAAATTATTTATAGCATGCAGTGATGGGTGTATGYATTACATGCTCATGMAGACAGAGGGAAATTTGTATCCCCAGGGAACTTGAAAAGGAGGTAAGATCCTTCAGTCCAATAAACTTTGCAYGTTTGTGTGAATGAAAAAAMCCMAAWMAAAMCMAAWKGAAAAMCCMAAMMAAAARSMAMCYYCTTTTCCTGTTGGTGAATGGAGCACCAAGGCTGAGGAGCAGCAGACAGTGGCTCAGAGCTCAGCTAAGGGCCTGGCTCAGGGAATACGTTGTGGATAAAGCAGGCTGTGGCTGGCCTGTGGTGCTCCTGAGAGTGGAGACAGAGTCCAGCCTCTCTTCTGAGGCCTCAGGAAACACAACAATTATTGTGAATTTGCTGGCCYTGAGATGCTGAGCAGTGAGATGGAAGAAACCAATCTCCCTCAAAAGGAAACCTATGGAAATTGCTGAGAGCACAGGAAGAGGCCCAGCTGTGGTGTGYTTWRTTTTCTTCCTAGGAWCTACMTTTTCCTGATCTTCTTTATGCCTTYTTCAAATGATCATCCCATTCACCACACTCTGTTTGTCTCCAAATATCATGAAAAGCTAGCAGAGATGTCTTAAGATATTCCCTTTAAACAGATGTATTCGGGAATGACAAGATGTTGAAAATAAAAAATTATGAATATTCATAAGTTTTTTATTAATCTTCTTTATTCTTTCTAATACTTCCAAAGCTTTTAGAAGAATGCATGAATGCAGACAATCCACAAAATTGTGATMACTAACTTCATGTTCTCYTTTAAAAGTATTTTTTTTTATTTCTAGGAACTCAACACTTATAATCTGAGAAGCTTTCAGAGATTACAGCATATTTTCTTTAAATTTCACAAGGTAATGTTTTGTGTAATTGCACTTGGTGTGGATTGTCCTGAGGATGTGTGATGTTTTCCTGTATTTCTTTGCACTGGAATAAGATTGAGTATATCATGCACTGCACAGGGAATGAGGAGGGAGTGTAGAAGGAATATTCCCACTGAAAAGCACAGTTTTTCAGGGCTCAACATCTATTCTGTTGCAGAACCAGAATGAGTAATTACAAAGTGTCTATGCCTGAAGAACTATCAGAGTTTGTAAATTCCAGGAGATGAAGTACTGGGAATACATCCCAAACTGGAATGGCTAAAAGTGGCTGGTATTGCAGGGGCAGCTCAGATGAGGCCTCGTTACGAGTACACAAAGTGAGATAAAGCTCGAGGACTTGGAAGCAAAAAATGTGAGTGGGCTGTTACTCCAACAGGGAAAACAGTGAGCTGCTCTCAAAAGGAAGTCAGGCAAACATTAGACTTTAAATTACAACTTCTGTGCTTTAGAAAAGGAGTAGTGGGTGATTAAGGCTTCTTTTTTTTTTTTTTTTTTTTTTTTTTTTTTTTTTTTTTTTTTTCCGTGGAAGGCATTTTTAAAAGCAATTTGATCCAACATTTGTAAGTGGGTGAAGAACAGCTTGTTAAACAGCCAGCATTAATCTCCTGATATGTCTGGCTTCAAAATGAGGCTTGAGCTCGTGCTTATTAATGACACTGAGAAATGGAGCTGCTTCATTATTGCTAATGAAGACATGGTGTAAAGGTTAAATTTAGATCTAAAGTAAGCCTCTGGGAAGAAACCAGAAAGGCTTCTTTCGTACGCATTKTATCAGATATATGAGATATTTTGGGGGATGGGGGAGTGGTTCTTGGGCTTTTCCCCCTTTTAAATGCTATT